CCACAGGGAAGAAAACCTGCAAAAGATTATACAGAGCATCCCTGGGGGCTGGGTTGAGCTACTAAAGGAGGAATTCACGTGGAAAGCGGGTGAGTGGGGAATCTTAATCCAAGACACCTCCCATGAGAGGGCTTACCGATTTTCCCATCGAATCTCAGGTTCAGGTCCAAGAGATGTCTTCACATCCTTCCCGATCCTGAAGACCAAGCCTGATGATCTGTACATCCAGAATATCAACCCAGAAAGAGTAGTGCTGAATGCGTTTATGCTCCGTAAAATAAGAGCAGTAGGACTCTGGCCAAAACAGATATTTCAAATAAGGACAGCAATTCAAGACCTCGAGTTTAACCCCTCAGAATGGGCTTGGCCCTCCGACCGAAACAGAACTACTAAACCACGAATCCGAATTTCTGATTACACAGTTAAGCTAGGTTATAAAATGCTGTTAAAAACAAAGGACCCAGACCCAATCATCAAAGGAAGATGGCGCAAGTTAGTTGGTTCTGAGGCAGACTTGATAGCAAAAATTCCATGGAAGAAATATAAAACGATAAGACCCAGAAAAATCAGAAGCATGCAGTGGCTCATAACGTACATTGCTCTACCGGTTAACCAGTGGTTACATGTTAGAAGAAGAAAGAACGACCCAACCAGCACGGATGTCTGCACAGTTTGCTCAGACCAAGAACAGGAAGATTTGATACACTGCCTGATTAACTGCAAAGAAGCTACAGGTTATTGGGCAAGAGCAGCAGCCCTATGGGACAGTCTATTCTCGTCTCCCCTCCCAGAACACCCCCTTCAACTGCTCCTCTGGACTAACTTACCCTCTAACCTTGACAAGTCGGAGAAAATCTGGTTCGGTATGGTACACAAGGTCACGCTCTGGGCAATATGGAAATAGAGATGCAGCAGAACTCTGGACAGCACGAAGAATCCACGGGAGAAAGTGTGGGCTGCAACCAAAGAGATGATTGAAGCGGAAATCCTGTGTCATTGGAGGAAGGTCAAACTGTGGATGCAAAACAGTCCGGAGACAGAACAGGTGACACTTGCCAAATTCATACGGGTCTGGTTGGTAGGGGGCAAAGTGGCATGGCTGAATGGGCAGGTTTTAAGATGGAAAGAGTGGTCGGTCAAGCCTGTTTCTCAGCGGAATACCCAGGTGCACGAGGAACCAACTCCAATCTGGGCGTAGAAGAACGTCCAAGATACACGAACGGCAGCCGATGTTTCACAGGGAACAGATCACCAAAGAATTCAGGGGACGACAGCATGCAAAGGAATGGAAGAACTCAGTAGTCCATCCTCAGGAATCTTGTTTTCAGAGAGTCAATGTGGCAGCGAAGGGTAGCAAATACTGGCAATAGCTGAGAGGATTCCTAGAGGGATGGCAAGTTGACAGTCGATCCTCCATATGATTGGAGCAATCAATGCTGTTCAGGGGTCCTTCGGACAGACGGAAGGAAGCGTTCGTGTGTGAACTCTTGTATCTTACGACTAGCCGGGGGAAAGGAACCGGACTGATGCTTCCCAGAATGGATATGGAGCCAGGACCATAAGGCCCTGTTTTTCAAGTGATTTAGATAGGGTTTGGGGTTCAACTGTGGCTTGTTAAAAGCATGAGTAGGAGAGCAACAGTGGTAGTCCTGAAATAGAGCCTTCATAATTAGGAAAAGATACACGAGATTACCTAGGTTCTCAATGCTGATCAGGGTTCCTTCAGCCAGATGGAAGGAAGCGTATGTGGGTTCATGATGTAATATTTATTCTGACCTACCGGTGGAATGGGAACCGGACTGATGCTCCCCAGAATGGAAATGGAGCCAGGACCACAAGGACCTGTTTTTTGTAAAAAAAAATAAAAATAAATAAATAAATAAATAAATAAATAAGAAAAAAGAAAAAAAAAAAAAGAAAAAAGAGTTATACAACTTATACCTCTTTGTTTCCCCAAACCCGCTGGGTTACCATCACCAAATTGGAAGGTAAGCTGGATTATGACCGCTCAGGGCGTGCACGATCCAGGCCTGGAGTTTTTTTTTTTTCCGAATCCTTGCCCTGTTCTTGATCTGCCTGATTTTCCCACGTGGGTGCCCCCCAGGTGTGCCTGGCCGTGCAGCATTAAAAAAAAAAAAAAAACCTATTCTAGCCTGAGCCTACAGAGGTCTTGCAATCAGATTCCAGGCCCAAAACTCAAGAAGAGCAAAACAGCAAACAACTTCAAATACAGCGAAGATGGGCCACAGCTGCTCTGCTGTACTAGCACCAAACATAAGGAGAAGCAGAGTTGGACTAGGAGAAGAAAGGGCGATGGCTGGATGGAAGAGGAGAGGAAACGGAGGATTCCCTCAGCCAAGGGTGATGCACACAACACACACACATTCCAAAGGTAAGAAACAGGGGTTGCACACACACACACACACACACACACACACACACACACACACACACACACACACACACACACCTGTCTCTTATACACATCTAGATGTGTATAAGAGACAGGAGAGAGAGAGAGAGAGAGAGAGAGAGAGAGAGAGAGAGAGAGAGAGAGAGAGAGAGAGAGAGAGAGAGGTGGATAGTGGAGGCAGTGTGTATGAGGGGGGTGTTCAATGTGGCTGAACTGAAGCAGATGGGGAGCAGTCCCATGATTCAGCTCACCCGTCCATGCGTCCGCATGCACGGGGAAAGAAAGGACTGAATGAAACATCAGCAGGTGTTCAGAGAAGAATACGGGTGAGGATGAAACCAAGACTAGAAGGTTTCCTGGCCAGAGCTCTGCCCCAATATGTGTTTGCACTGACGGTATTGGCACCAGATAATCACCTTTCCCTTTACAAGAGCTTGAGTTTGCAGATTTGTGCTCTCAATGATGACGGACAAGATAAGGTGCGACCGCGAGCTCTCTGCGTTCATTTGCGTGCCTGATACATGACGTTTGTCAATTCCTCTTGTAACTGTTGCCTCAAGCTCCTCAGCATTCTCAACACTAATGAGCGTTGCATTCTCTACCACCACCATCCCCTGGAACCATGAATGTCAAAAATGCGCCCAAAAATAGAAATCACAGCCAAAATAGTTAGCCCAGGCAATACTGAGGGGGGCAGTTATAGCAAACAGGTTGCCTCTCAAAGAGGAACACACACTGCTGTAAGACGCTAAATGCCAGGAGGGTGATGGAAACCAACCCTTCCCCGCACAGGCAACCGAGGGTGCTGAAGATTTAAGTTCAACCCACTGATGGTCCACATCTAGCTGAAGTCTGATGCGCTGTTTTGCTGAACACGGCTGGGTAACCAAATGGCATCATATTTCTCTACAGCAAACATTTAACTTTGACAATTTTTTTTGAAGACCGGAAAACAGAGGAAGAAATTGATGTTTGTTGAGACCTGGACAGAGTAGATTCCTACGGTCCCTGAGCAACAATGAGACACACCTTGAGATACGTTCACCGAAAAGAAAGGTCCAAAAATCTGGGAGAAAACAACTCTAATTTTAGTCACATCAAGACAGCTGTGATGAACCCAATCACGCGTGAAGCTCACAATGTCATCATCCAACTTAGTCATCACACACAATGTGGTCTCAAAAATGCAGCAGCATGTAACCAGAAAAGAGAATGATGGAGAAGCATTGGAGAAGAGAGAGGAAAGCTTTTAAAATTAATCCTCTGACTTCGAATCCCCCTTCAACCAGCAGGACCTCTCCCACTCAATCTCGCGATCTCAGCTCCTATCACACAAATGAAGTAGTAGATGAGGTCTCGCTGAGACAGTCCCTCTCCACAGGCAAGTCCAACCTCCAGCACGAAGCTCAGCGATGGAGGTTGGTGCTCAGAACTTCCAATCTTCAGAGCAAGCTCCTGTTAGACATTACCAGCAACACCAGGTAAGTCAGTTAAGCCTCTCTTTTCTCACTCTGTACTCACAGGTCTGATTGCACTCAACCTCACTCTCTCTCTTCACTACTAGGCTATGGTGACGGGTGCCCCTACTCTAGCTATGACTACACTACCGGTGCTCACTCTCTTCTCTCACCAGCACTCACTGCCTTTCCAGCACGGATCTGGGGCAGTGCTCCGGCATTCAGCAACACAAGCCAGGAATGAATGAGTGGACTAGCGCAGGCCACTCTTTTATACTGTTGACTCGGCTTGGCCTGCCTCCTTTTTGCCTCCTCATGTGGCTGAGATTTGTCTATCTCAGATGGCCAAGATTTGCCACTGGCCAAAGTGTGCCTGGACCCAATGGGCCTTGGAAACTTCTGGAACACTACTCCGCCTTTGGATGTGTGTCATTTGTGGTTATGGTTGACTCCTGAGAAATCCCTAACTCTTTGAGTACTGGGCTTGAGTCGGGCCTGACTCTTACTTGTTCCGGGGTCCACAGGGTGCATCTTCTGACCCTGGACCCTGGACCTTTTGACTTAACAACTTTCTGGTGCTCATTCAGGGGCTGTCGGCACGACTTTCGACCGCTGCATACTGATTGGACCAAAAGCCACTGCCCAAGATTGTATCTGTGCAGACGTTGAACATGGTTCTTTGCACTTTCACCGTCCCAATTTCGAGTTCCATTACAGAAATTCAATAACCATCAGGTACAGCTTTGCTTTCAATCATAACCCGCAATAATATCAGTCCGTTCTCGCTAAACATCTGCTTTCTGCTTCAGCCTGAAACATGAGCTTCACCTTATACTGTTTTTGTGGTCTTCGTCTTCCACCTGTAGAGAAAAGCACATGAAGTTATCGAATGCTGGCACCTGGAAAGACGAGGTAATCAATGCTGTCAGTCCATCCTTGCAGAAGAACACGTGGATCTTTTTGCAATTAGTTACTTTGATCTCCACTCTATAAATTGGTGGCAAGTTCGGTTAAAATGACCCTTGGGTTTTGTTATGAATGGCATGACAAGTTGTCTGAAATCTTGGGCCTCCGTTAACCGCCTCTCCAGAAGAAGTAATCAAATGCTGGCAGGTGGAATGACGAAGTTCGAAGTGACTCTGATTGTGTGTTCTTATGGGAGTCAAAAAAAGACCAAGGGAAAACAGAAGCACCCAACATTACTTAAGTCACATAGAAGATGCCCCTGAAAGGGCAGACCTGATTACTTGAACATCATTACACGAGGGAAATTCACAGAAATGCATGGTAAGACCTTCAACAACAGTAAGTCTTTCACTGCATCAACGAAGGCAACGTGTGCTGGGGCTCAATTGACCTAGGTAAGTGGAGGTCAGTAGGTCAGTTGATGTGCGATGGTACCTAAGTAGCTCAGTCGGTTAGGCAGTCCGTAGGTGGGTGAACAGGTTAGAAGCTTAGTTGACATAGGGTGGTGGATCAATCCATCGGTCTGGAAGGCTGGGTCAGGGGGGGAGCAACGAAGAGGGTGAAGTTTGTGTGGTGTGTGGTGAGGTAACTGTGGGAGAGGCCGCCACTTCTTGTACTTTGTCCAAGTTGCTTCCGAGCAGAAGCGCACTTGTCTTGGTGTTCCTTCGGAGTGTTGGCTCTGTTCGCTTCCCTCTTCATCTGCTTCTTGTCACTTTGAATTTTGGTTCCAAGTCGTATGAACGAGTCTTTTGCTTGTCCAAGTTGCTTCTGTGTGGCTTACAATGTAATGCAAAGTGCCAAAATATGTGTGAGTGGGAGGTGATGGTCATTCATGTTCCAAAGTTGTCATTGGAATGACACCCTAATCTTGGAGAGAAAGAGAGAGATCGCTGCTGTATGCTGTGAAGTGAGTTGTCGATTTCTTATAGACCGGCTTGGTGTTCCGGATCTGAGTTGCGTGGATTCTGCCTGCTTCGCTCGTGGCGCAGGTTCTTGCCTGTGCATGCAGCCAATAGTCCATAGGTATGTAAGTAGCTCAATAGGTTAGACGGTCCGTAGGTAGGTGAACAGGCTAGAAGCCAAGTTGACGTAGATCAGTAGATCAATCCGTCAGTACGTCAGAGGGGAGCATGTCAACTACTGCATGTGGCCTCAATGTTGGTCTGGGTTCAACCTCTGCAGGAGGACATCAGCCAGCAGAGCAAAACTGCACCACCATGAGACATCAGGAGACGAGAAAACCAGGATATGGGTTTCTGCCACTTTCTGGGTTTCACTTTCCAGCCATTACACTGTCGACTGCACTTTATGCTTCTCTCTGAGTGCTATATGGATGGTAGTACCAGAAGCCAGGTGGCTGTATGGGTCCACAATTTCGCAGCTCACCTTTGAATCTTTCTTGATGTCCAGCTTTTGGCGCTTGGCGTTCTTTGGCAGCAACAGGTCCTGTAAGGTATCCTGATACAGCTCAAGCATATATACCTACAAAGCACAGACAATGAAGAACAAATTTAGCCATTCCAGCTGTATGAATTTAATCACTCTTGATGTTTGGAAACAGAAGGTCCTGCATTTGATGCGAATTAGTGATAGATGACAGCGAACAGAAAGATGAGACGTGCATCTACTCCCATGGCAAAGTACAAATGCATTTTCGCTGACCCACAATGCATGGCACCCACTTGGGAATGTTGTGACCGCCCTTACCACACCTGCCCCTTCACCAACAGCCATGTGCAACCCCATACACCTCCCAAACCAACTGCGGCCACTCTGTATCCTCCAAACTCCCCTTGCCATGGCTTGTGACCACCTCAACACATCCAACTGACAAATCAAAGAACTCCTTAACACACTCCCAACGGCTGGCCTAATCACGTTGTGAAAGGTCCCAACCACATCCCCACCTTATACTCCTGTAGCCCCCTTGTAAGATTTAAAACCTGCTAAGCATCCCTCCTCCGTCAATACTAAACTTACCTCTGGATCACCCCTGACCACTGCTAGACAGCACCTCATCCATGTTGATGCACATTCCCGCCTTCAACTCATCCCTACTACAACCTCAATATCCCTCTTCCCAAAGCCTCCACTTTCATATCCTCAACATGACTCTTCAACATTCCCTCAACAACTACCACGCTCCCTCGACCCAATACTACCCAGCACAGCCCATGGGACCACCACAACAATCCACCCTGAAAAGTTGTGCGTCCTCTTATGACATAGCTTGATCCCTTATGAAGCCAACGCCCACACCAAAACCTGGAAGGCCTTCACATCTCTACATGGCAACCACCACATGAGACACCTTCAGTTTCCCCTAACACATCACTCCAGCATCTCCCTCACCACCACCTCATATCCCCCCCCCTTTGCTTCCTCTTCTCCTTTTTTGCATTCCTGGATGACAAGGCCCTGAAATGAGAAACTGTTTGTTCCCCTAACAGAGCATTCCAGCACCGGCCTTAATGGGGACTCCCACTCCCCCTATCCCTTGTGATTCTCCACAATGCCACTCTCCCCCCCCCCCCCCCCCCCCCCCCCCCCCTTCCTTGCACCCTGCCCCTCTTCCGTCCTGCTCCCCTCCTTCCTTTTCTTCTTCTTTCTTTCCTCTTCCCTTGATTCCTCTCTCTCATTGCCAATGCTACATCCTTCCCGGTTCATGACTACATAAATGGAGAGAGAAGAGAACTGACCTGCCGAGAACGCGGGTAGAACATTCATCGTACCTTGAGTGCAAAGCTGAACTTGTTGCCATCCCTCTTCATACACCGGAAGAGCTCCTTTATGGCGCGAGGAGTGAGGCCAGGATGATCCTGTCCGCCATAAATTGTGAAGGTTTTCCCAGAGCCTGTTTGACCGTATGCAAAAATGCAAACATTGTAGCCGTCGATTGCAGACTGAACCAGATACTGAAATCAGAAGGAAACACCAAAAAGAGTGAATGCCACAATAAGAATCACTGATGCATGTGGGAAGAAATAATTCTTCTGAGGAACCAATTGAGGATGGCCCTCAAGTTGATGTGTGTTGTGTGTGTGTGTGTGTGTGTGTGTGTGTGTGTGTGTGTGTGTGTGTGTGTGTGTGTGTGTGTGCATGTGCGTGTTGTTATATCACCACAAATTCTCTCTCTCATTTTTTCCACAAATCATAACCATCCATCCATCCATAACAAAAGAGTGCCAAGGTTGGCCACGTTTGTGTGGTTCGGCGCCAAGTGCCCGCACACCAGTCTGCCGCCGAAGCGGCACACTTGCACATATACATATATACATATATTCATTTAAAGAATGATTTAATCCATAAAAGGGTGGAGGGCTAGAAGCAACTTACCTAAGAAAGAGGACTCCACCAGCAAGAAAGCACCAACCCCATCCTCCATAGGTCCGAAGAAAATTGGAGAGCCCTCCACGTCGGCCCACAAAACACCATAACACAAAAGGCTCCACTAAAAAAAAAGCACGTGGCTTACTGTCCATGTATACGCCCGCCGCCTGCTTGAGACGTGGACAGTAACGAATGGCCCGGAATGGACCGGCTTCACGTATCGAGTCCGTTATCCTAACCTTACCTTCTCCTTCATTGAAGCCGGGAGTGATTCATTCTCGGTTTTCACCAACCAAACCCGCTGGGAGGGGAGTGAGAAAGAGAGAGAGAGATGAGATGCTCGGCTCTGCCCCAGTAGAGCGCCTGGCATTCTCTCTCTCTCTCTCTCTCTCTCTCTCTCTCTCTCTCTCTCTCTCTCTCTCTCTCTCTCTCTCTCTCTCTCTGT